CTGCGTAATTCTCGACACCAATAACAGACGATCTAACATCAAACTGAAAAAGCCTGAGAGATGCGTGCTGGTGCGTACAGGAAAGAACAGTCAATCTTAGTGACTGGGAAATTTCCGAAGTTGATCTGGAGTGTCTCATGATACGGGATCGACAAACCTCTGATTGACGTGTCCCCTAGAGGGGAGCCGTCGCTTTTGGAGGGGGAAACGCCCCCCTATCAATATATAGGACGGGCTTAATCATCCGGGGTCGACATGAACTGAGCAACCGAAAGCAGCCTCCCGCACATTGGAATTGTGGCGAGGACTCTACGTGACTTCAGGTGGCTCATAGTGGGCCTGCCATGTCACTTTGAACCAAAGGCCTCAAAGTGGACCGCCCGTGTTACTCGGGTCCATTGCCAACCGACGAAAACCGCCGAACTGCCCAACTTCGTGCCAGGTAGACTCGCCCGGAGGATAGCCCATGCCTCGGTACGGGAAGACACGGCGCAAGCAACAAGTTGGACTTGGAACGGAATGTCCAGCTGTCACTCCACATGCCTCGTCCGCTGCATTGCAAGCGGAATCAGTTGAAGAACCTATGCGCTATGAGGTCAACCCCTCATTTGTTGTGGCTGCAGTTTGCAACCTAGGATTGATGCCGGGAATGTGCAACAAACGATTCCAAAGCTGCAGCTTGGGGTGGTCAGTTCACTGGTTGGTCCAAGCAACCATACAAATTGATGGCATTTCCATGCGAGGCGTCTGCTCCTTCGCGATGCTGACTGCCGGTCAAACTGCAATGACTGTAGAAGCACATAAAATCAGCAGCTTCTGCGATGCTTTCCTTTGCGGCTTGCATGTGGCATGGGGTTGGAGCACGTATGTATTCTGCTTGCTTGGGAACGGCTGCTGCGGTGGAACAAACCAAACGCAAAACACTGAACTCATTTGTAACTAGACTGAGCGCTCCCAAGATATGCCCCAAGGACACGCGGAACTGAAACATTTCCCCTTCCCCCCCCCCCCTCCCACGTTATACTGCCTGCATCATTGCTGCTTCAATGTGGCAGATCTTGGGCAACGATGAGTGTTCAACTAGCTGGAAGAACCATGACCCCTCTTGGGGTACCAATGGCGGCCTCAAAAGAACAACAGCCGAGGCGCTATAAAAGCATACCTCCATCGTCTTCTTGTCGCGACGCTTCTGGCGAGGGCAGTGAAATTCACGCTGATGCATGTTCATTGGTCGCACCAACTTGTATCGGAGCCCAGTCACGCGTCAAGGGAGCATGCTAGGACTACAAGTAACTGCTTCCTCCCCAATGTTCTTCAACATCAGGCCAAAGCAGCCCCCAAAGTAGGATACAGCAAGGGTGGGGCGTCCGCGCAATCCAAACCGGCCTTTGGCAGTCCAATGAGCTTGGGGAACATCCTGAGACGTCGACTTTGACCAATCACTTTCCCAATTACGGCCATACGGATGTGCCGTTTTTTGAAGGTACCCTTTTCGGGCCCATGTTTAAGGAACACGAAGGGACACCACCAATTTGTTTGGGGGGTCGTCCATGTTAAGACAGACCCATGTTGACCCCGGACTAGCCTGTCCTATTGGGCCAAAAGTGAATCCCTCACAGGCGACACCCTCATCGACTCCGGGGTGTATTTCTCGACTCTATGGGTCTGCTCCATGCTGCTGAAAGTCCTGTGGAGCTCCAGGGCACCCCAGCGCTCCTGTCGCACCCGACAGCGATGGGAGGCGCTCCGTTCCCCCCGAAAATTGGACGCGCCAAAAATCCACACAAAGCATAGGTCGGCAAAGTGAACACGGCGTTCGAAATGTGCCCCTGAAAGGAAACCAGTTGGATGGTGTATAAGGGTCATTCCATGTCTCAACCAGCAAGTACAACGACGTCGTGCGTTACCGGCGCAGTCAGCCCCGGTCCTCCTTCTTCCGCGCTTCGCTGCGCTGCTCTGCGGAGATGCGCTCGCCTTTGACCTCGAACCTCAGCGGGCCGAGGGCCGCTCGATCGGTGCTAGAGATGCAGGGAATGAGTTGCACGGAACGAGGAAAACCCTCCGGTTCATCAGGTGTCCTTTAAGGAAATCCCAAAACTGTTCATTCCCAACACCCGGAAGGTCATTCGCTACTGAGCACAAGCAAGTTGAGGCACGACTTGCTCAGCCCGGCACTTCTTCTGCAGCCCACCTCTGTTGAGGTAGGGGCTGGTAATGCCAGCATACCTAGCAGGATATAATCAAGCTCAAGCCCAAAGTGGCCAGCAGCCAACCTGAAATGAGTCAGCGTCAACATTACTTGCCTGGCGTGCATTCATTCCGAAGTTAGGACGTCCCACACTGATTTTCAGTTCTGTGCTGCTTTTATTTCTGAGGTGGTCCTGTATTGTTTTGTTGGACATCCCGTATCCTGCTTCGAGGGAAAAAAGAACAACATGTGCGTGAAACACTCCCACATAAAGCAAATGATCGGTAACTGTTGAAGCTGACTCAAATGACA